GGTCCAGATCTCAACTTACTAATTCCTAAATTCAGCCCCAGAACTTTGGTTTCCACCCAAACTTCAGCTCTTGTCCACTCTGCTCTACCGTGACTCCCCAGCATGCAGACTTACCCCTCCAGCCAACTCTACATCACCCAAAGGCTTTTTCCACGCTGAGAGCTGATCCTACCCTGCTCTGCCCTGCCCTGCCCTGCTCACAGCCCTCCAAGCAAAGGTCCCTGTACTCATTGCCTCTCATCCTTTAACATTCCATGAACCAACCTCACTTTCTACTCAGTAGACACACATGGGCTCCTTCTGTGCCTAACACAGGGCTTGCCACACTGCAGTGTGACGGGCTTCAGTCTTTCACACATTTGCGCGAATAGGAACCTCTGCTCTCAGGGCTGGATCCAGCAGGAGGCAGACTAAGAAAGATGAAGAGCTATACGGCTGGGGTCCAAGTGGAGACTCTGCTGCTCACTAGCTGAAAAAATTCATCCACTTCCTTGTCCTCTGTGCCTCAGATCTCTTTATCAGAAAAGTGCCTCTGTCATGGTGTGGTGACAGCATCACAGAGGCAGGTGCACAGCTGTGGGGCAGCTGCACAGCTGTGGGGCAGCCACCGAGGCAGTGCTGTGTTGCTTTCTTAAGAATTCTAAAGCAAAAACTAAATATAGCGTCCTAAGCCTATAATCCCAGAACTTGAGAGGCTGAGGCAGGAAGAAGAGCTATGAGCTCAAGGCCAGCCAGGGCTACTTGTGAAACCCTGTCTCAAAGAAAAAAGTCCTGAAGTAAAAAGGTTGACATTTTAATTCTGTAATCAGTACTGCATGTTTGTTATGCCTTTGCACATTTTGATTATTTCACAAGTTTATTTCAAAACATGGATTGGGGAGGAGGGAGCTGGAAGATGGGCTGGCAGCTAAGAGTGCTTGCTACTTGTGCAGAGAACCTGAGTTTGGGTCCCAGCACTTAACTCACAATCACCTATAACCCCAGCTCCAGGCGATCCAATAACTTCTTCTCGCTTCCACAGGCAAGCATTCACACGCACACACAGCAGAGACATGGCCAAACATGCATAATTTAAAAACTTTTAAAAATGAACTGGGCTGGAAAAAAAATGGCTCAGCTGTTGTGAGTACTCAGTTGCTCTTCCAGAAGTCCCAGGTTCAATTCTCAACGCACACAGGGTGACTTACAAACTATCTGTAACTCCAGTTCCCCCATGGGCACTGCATGCATGTAGTTCACAGACAGACAGACAGACAAAATACCCATACACATTAAATGAATAAATTTTAAAAGTAAAAATCGAGCTAGTCAGTTTTTGCACACACCTTTAATCCCAGCACTCGGGAGTCAGAGGCAGGCGGATCTCTTGAGTTCGAGGCCGGCGAGTTCTAGGATAGCCAGGGCTACACAGAGAAATCCTGTCTCAAAACACCATAATAATGATTATAATGATAATGATAATAATAATAATAATAATAATAATAATAATAATAATAATAATAATTAATTGGGGCTGAACGCAGAGCTCAGTGGTAGAATGCTTGACTAGCATGAAAAGGCCCTGGTGTCAGCCCTCAGCACTGGGTGGAAGGGAGAGGAGGGAGACACAGGAAAGCTGGAGAGGAGGACACTTCTTATTAGGTCTGGTGCCCTGACCAAGGGTGGTGTCAGGAGAGGGTGGGACAGACAGGGATGGGTGACAGAGATGAAGTTAGCTAAGGCAAGAGTGTGTCGGAGGAGGCCAAGGGGATGCGCTGGTACTGCCGGGGCACTGGGAGCCTTGAGGGGCTGTGGGCAGGAGAGCAGAGGGAGACTGCTGGCATGAGGGGAGGGGAAGGTGAGGCCAGAGCCTGGATGGAGGAAAGAGGATGAAGGGCAGAGACAGGGCTCCAAGGCTGCATCAGGAATGGCAGTTGCAGAATGCCCAGTACCCAGGGTGTCCACCCAAGGGGAAGGCCTCTTGGAGGAGGCACTGGGTTCCACTCTGCCCGTTGTGGTTCACAGGTCTTTTCCCTGGTCATCTTTTCCTCTCTGCTAACTGATGGTTACCAGAACAGGACAGAGAATCCTCAGCTCCGCTGCGTCCTCAACAGCAATCATGTGGCTTGTAGCTTTGCAGTAGAAGCTGGCTTTCTGTCCTTCCTCAGCTGCTTGGTCTTCCTTGCCTTAGACGCCCGTGAGAGCCGCATCACGGGCAGCCGCTTTAAAACAGCCTTCCAGCTCTTGGACTTCATCCTGGCTGGTGAGTCCCACGCGACCATGCAGAGCTAGCCCTCCCAGGCTCCCTAGTGCCTACAGTCACAGCCCTGCTGGTCCTTCCACTGTGAGGGTCTGACTCCATGGTTCCCCCTAGTCTGTCTTCTTCCCTGTCCTCTCACTGCCTCTAGCCCAAGCTGCTTTCCCCTCACATTCCACTCCCTGGTCCACTAAACACAGCCTGAAGAGTCCACCCTGTGGCAGGAATTTGACTCAGAGCGCTGAGCCACATGGACCCTCAGTGAAAGCTAGGATGAAGACTCTGCCTCGCAGGGGTTTCTGGGTGTGAAATGAATTAAGGGGTGCCTACAGACATGTGCACACCTGCTGAGCACTTTCCAGTGTTAGGCACACCATCAAGGGATGAGCCCTGTCTCCTCCAGTTCGAAGAACAACCCTGGGTGAGTCCTGCTCATCTCTCATTTTCCAAGAGAAACCAAGGCTGAGGTAGTCATGTGACTGACCCACGGCTGCCCAGTGAATGGCAAGCCCTATGCTTAAAGCACGGCACAGCCTCCGTAATCATACCACAGTATCTGTAGAGCTCGGCACCCAAAAGCACTCAGCCCATGCTTTCTTTATACCCAGGCCCTCAGACCCTCCTCACACTGCCTCTCTCCCCTCCCCAGGAGCCAATCCCAGCACCCCAGGGCCAGAGACTGCTCCTGTCAGAACCTCTGCAGTGAGAAGGTGCTGTCCTCTAGGAAGGACCCCTTCACTCAGCCCCTGCCCACATGAGATGTGGCTGGCAAAGGGAACTGATGCAGATGAAGTAACCACATGGAGCTCCGGCTCTGTGTTAGAAGTTGACTTTGGGGGACACTTGAGGGACTTGGATTAGCACCCTTTGCCTGTGCCCCAGCATGCTTCCCCTCTCTCTTCCCTTGCCCCTCCAGTCCTCTGGGCAGGTGTCTGGTTTGTGGCCTTCTGCTTCCTGGCCAGCCAGTGGCAGCACTCGAAGTCCAAGCATTTCCTCTTGGGGAACAGCAGCGCCAAGGCGGCCATTGCCTTTGCTTTCTTCTCCGTCCCTGTCTGGGTGAGGACAAGCCCTGGCACCCCTCTGGGGTGGGGTGGGAGGACTGCACATTTGGTGACCAGGACCAGGACTCGACCTGGGTCTCTTCCGTCCCCCTCCAAGTCTACCTTCTTCGGGCATCCCCAGTCCTGGGCACTGCTGGGCATTAGCAGACCCCCAGGCCAGTCCCTGGCTTTCCCTGTCCCATCCCAGCTGACTTAACTCCTGCCCTTTCCTGCCCACAGATATTCCAGGCCTACCTGGCCTTCCAGGACCTCCGAGACGAGGCTCCAGTCCCCTACAAGCGCTCCCTGGACGAGGGTGGTGTGGTGCTCAACACCCTTTCCCCATCGTCCACCATTAGCCCTGTCAACCCTCCCACCACAGGCCCCAACAGCGTGAGTTACAGCAGCTCAGCACTGTCCCCCTACCTGACGGCCCCAAAGGGCCCCCGCCTGGCCATGATGCCAGACAGCTGAACAGCCTTACCCACATCAGTAAAGAGCTCTTCTCCCTCTGAGGGGTTTCTGAGTAACCCTGTCCTCTGTCTGTTCCTCTCACCCCTTGAACGGCAGGGGGAGGAGGGAGACCCCCTGAAAAAGGCCACATTTCTGTGCACCCCCAAGCACCAATCACCTTGCTGACAGCAGGTTGGAAGTGTTGACAGGCAGGAGACCCTGCCTGTCACTTGTACCTAAGCCCACACTGGCCTTGAAGAGGAGGCACAAGGGCCTCCTACTAGAGCTGAGGCTGAGGCTGAGAGAGAAGAGCCTTCCCTTCAGAGCGCCAGGGAGGGAGAAGCAGTGCAGCACTGACCCAGCAGCCCAGGCTCTTTAACCCACAGTGATAAGGTACTCAGCAGAGGGCACTGAGTCCACGATGAGGCTTAGACTGTGTCTTCAAATGCATTAAGTCTAGCTTGGGAAAGAGGCAAGCGTCTCTGCTCTACACCTCCAGGGTCAGCAGGCTACAGACCTGTTAGGAGGGATCAGGCAGGTCCACCTTGTACCAGAGTGACAACCTTTACCCAGCCATGGGGCTGAGGGTGTAGAAACTTGCTCAAGGCTATACTGAGAAGAAAAAAAAAGTCAATTTTAATATATTTCATTTAACTTAATATATCCAATGTGTTGCTGTTTCAACATATAGTCGATGTGAAAATTCAGCTTTTTTAAATTTTTTCTTTGTGCAAACAGTTTCACTGTGAAGCTCAGGCTGGCCTGGAACTTACTATTCCCCAGCCTCGATCCTGGGGTTATAGGCAGGTGCCACCATTCCCAGCACTGAAAGTCCCCATTGCCGCATTTACACCTTTCCTCACGACACGGCTCCCTCGGGGTCTGCCAGGGCGTGTGCTGGGGAGACAAGTGTTACTGACAGGCAGCCCACTGGCAGTGCCACTCTTGATCCTTGGGGTCGTTCCTCTAGAACAACTAAACATCTTTTCTGTTGTTATTTTGGTTTTTGGTTTGTTTTTGTATGTGAAATTAGTGGATAACAGACTTTTTGGTTTTTGGGGTTTTTTTTAAAAAGTAAATTTTTTTATTTATTTTTTTAAAGATTTATTTATTTATTATGTATACAGTGCTCTGTCTGCATGTGTCCCGGTGGGCCAGAAGAGGCATAGGATCTCATTATAGATGGTTGTGATTCCCATGTGGTTGCTGGGAACTGAACTCAGGACCTCTAGAAGAGCAGTCAATGCTCTTAACCACTGAGCCATCTCTCCAGCTCCAACAGACTTTTTTTTAAAGTAAGGAGCTAGAGCTGGTAGAGTACTTGCTCAGTGAGCACAAATCCCTGGTTTGTTTAATCTAGCATCGCATAAACCAGATATGATGGTGCACATCTATAATCCCATCTCTCAGGAGGGGGAGGCAG